GTACCCCTAATAATACTACCTACTGACTATCTGCGACAGCGCTTGTTGTGCTAGTTCGTCATAGCTCTGCAGTCGAGAAGGTGGCACTAACTTCTTTTGTTAGTGGAAGCTCTCCGTACAGTATCAGAGGATTGCAATAGTTGTCTTAGGAGGCTGGACACGCACAGGATAACAAGTTGAAACAGATCAGGGGCTAGAACAACCTAGCGACCTTACCGCACCTGGCATGACAATAGACTTCTCAAGTTAGTCTCTATAAAGCTCTCCCCTAAGCCCTAAACCCACTGATCTCGAAAACCCTTGAGGTGCTCCATGACACATCCGTCGAGGAGCTGAAGCGTCGCGCGGAGGTCGCGTTCGGTGTTCGTGGCTCGCTCCTCAGCGCAGCTGGGGTCTCCTTGGATGGAAGCTGGAGCTGTCAGAGCATCCCTTTCTTCTTGAGAATATGTCGAAACGCTTTAAGTATCAGGATTTAGGAGCTTTAGAGATCCGAGATTCTAACCTGAGGTTTAGGGAGCCGGGTGAAGTTACAGCACAGGAAGCATGACGGTCAGCTCGGCGGGTGTGCAGAAGGGCGAGGTCTTAACACTGGCAACGAGGCCTGCTCCCCAGCGGCTGAACAGGCAAGCTTTTGCTTTTTTTTTTGTGCGACTACGAACCCCTGTCTTGACAAGCAGATATGCTTTGGTTTTGACCTATGAACCGAGCAACCGGCTAAAGGTTGCTGTTGCGGCGGCGATTTCTGCCTTTGCTGCCATCCTTCCGGATGGCTCCGTGGTCTCTTGGGGTGAGCGACCCTATGGTGGCGACAGCAGCACCGTACAGAGTCGGCTAAAGAACGTGCAACAACTCCAGGCCTCTCAGCATGCCTTTGCTGCAATCTTGGCAGATCGGTCGGTCGTCACCTGGGGAGCAAACTTCTGTGGCGGCGATAGTCGGGCAGTTCAGCATCTGCTGAAGAATGTTCAAGAAATCCAATCCACCCGTTATGCCTTTGCCGCCATTCTGGGGGATGCTTGGTAGCAGGCCAAGTAATCCTTTAACGTTGTTGTTTTGGTTGCAGCCTCGCTGTAAACCCCAAGGGCCCCAAAGCCTCCAGCCACAAACCCTAAACCCTGTTGGCTGGGTCGAAGTTGCGAAAGCGCAAACCCTGTGACCTAAAAGTCCTAAAGCGGAATTCCATTCAATAGTCCGACCATGAACCCCTAGACCCTAAAACCCCAAGGCCTAGAATCCTAAAGCCCATTTGAGAGTTTCCAAAATAAGGGGTACTTTACTATGGGGTCCTTATGATAAGGATCCTACTATTTAGGGTACTATACGAGGCTATTTTCGGAAAACCCATGTATACAAAATCCTAAACCCTAAACCCTAAACCCTAAACCCTAAGCCAGAGGCCTTAGAACCCCAACCCGAACAGGATGGATCTGTCATCACTTGGGGCAATGCTGACTATGGGGGTGACAGCACCCTTGTTCAAGATCGCTTGAGGAGCCTGGTCTCCGGCTTTTTAAGGAGTTTAGGATTTAGGGTTTAGGGCTTAGGGTTCTAAATCAGGGTTTCGGGTTCTGATGGGGTTTTATGCACTTCTTTACCCGGTTTCGTCGTATTTCAAGCATTGTATAACGTGTTCATATGGACTGCGAAGGCTTACTTTAATCCCCAAAACCTCTACAGCAAAGTTTGCTCAGGAACCCGAAGCTGAAGAGAGTTCCCTAATATAGGGGCCTTAAAAGCTAGAATCTGTTAGAATAGGCTTTGGTGTATATTATACTGTAATTATTATAAGGAACCCCCAAAACCCTCATTCCAGTTATTACGGCCCCCACAGGCCCCTACATAAAGATTTAGGGATCTAACTTCAAAGCCCAGGAAGGTGCGGCAGATTCAGGCCACTCACTATTGTTTTGCTGCAATTCTGGAGGATGGCTCCGTCGTAACTTGGGGTGAGCGCCAGGGCGACAGCAGCGCTGTCCAGGAACTTGGCTCCTCTTGTTGTAATGACCTCAAACTCATATAAGGGTTGTTATCCCCTAAACCGTAAGGCGCCGACACCCCTGTAAGCTAGGCTTCCCTGCAAAGGCACTCGCAGAGCCGCTGTTGTCGGCCAGATAGAAAGATGCCAAGTAGAACTGTAGGGCTTCAGACCTCCATCTGACGGCACAGTGCAAGATACACTTCCTTTGTCAATAAAGCTCGCTGTCCACCTTGACTGCACAGCATGTTCTACATCACTGCGTAACTTCCTAAGCCTTGTCTAGGGCAAGCTGAAGAACGTGAAGCAGATCCAAGCTTCCCAGTCTGCCTACGCTGCGATTTTAGCAAACGGCACTATGCTGTCTTGGGGCGCCAAATGTTCTCTTGGTGTTGGTGACCGCGCTGTCTACGAGCTGCAGGAAGTAAGGCAGGTCCATGCTGGCCAGAATGCCTTCGCCGCCATTCGAGCGGATGGCTCGGTCGCTGCATGGGGAAATCCTGCATACGGTGGCGACTGCAGTGCCGTCCAAGACCAGCTAAGAGACGTAAAGCAAATACAAGCTGCCCGCCTGGCTTTTGCTGCCATGCTGGCGAATGGCTCCATCGTCACCTGGGGAAGTGCCGGTCATGGTGGAGACAGCCGCTTCGTACAGGATCGCCTGCGGAATGTGCAGCAGGCTTCAGGGACCAAAGGTGCCAAGAAAAAGCAAAGACAGCACGGACAGCCACTATTGAACCGCTCCTATATAGGGATATTACCCTCAACGGAGTAACGAAGCTTAGATGCTATCTTAAAGTCTTGAACTCTTCAGGTTCAGGCTTCGCACAATGCCTTTGCTGCTCTGCTTCCCGATGGCTCTGTCGTGACCTGGGGCGCTGATGACTCGGGTGTCCGTCTCCCAAACTCCCCCAACGAAGCTTTGGAAATCCCTTGAGATGAACACTAAACCCCAAAACCTTTGAATCTGAAGCCTTTGAATTGAACCCTACACCCTTAACCCTTAACCTGAACCCCACAACTCTGCACCGAAGCTCCAGGAACCTGGAGCTCCAAACTCAAAGAAACTCTGCTCCAGATCCCAAAGAAGACATGATCAGAACATCCTCTTCAGCCCCTACACACCTTAAAGTCAGAATTTGGCTATTCTGATAGTTCAGGCCCTTACGCTACGCCCGAGGACGTTCAGTTGTACTTTCCTGAACCCTGAGGTGGCGATAGCCGCTCTGTGCAGACTCGGCTCAGGAATGTGCAGCAGATCCAAGCAAACATGCATGCCTTTGCTGCCATACTCGCAGATGGGTCTGTTGTAACTTGGGGGCATGCTGACTACGGTGGTGATAGCGATGCTGTGCAAGGGCAGCTGAAGAACGTGCAGCAGGTGCAGGCTTCAGACCTCGCGTTTGCGGCGATCTTGGCAGATGGATCAATCGTTACCTGGGGCCATGCCAGATACGGTGGCGACAGCAGTTCCGTTCGGGAGCAGCTCTTGCCAACTCAGGAAGCCTCACCCTCTCAACCGGCTCTGGCATGCAGTGTTCCTTCTGTTTGCAACGATCCTTGTGCAAAGCGTGCCCGGCCTCAGTAAGTTGATAACAGTTCGAGCTGCTCTACTCTGATATCATGTTATGGAGGTATATTTCTGTGCGCTGACAGGACTTCCATAGGCCATGGTATGATGTGAAGCCAGAGGCCATTTGAGAAGAGAGTTAAAGAAATTGGTTTTGCTTGTTGAACTTCGGGAAGGGCTCCCTGTCTGTCGTGATGAGCCGCAGGGCACATTCGGGCAGTCAAGGGCTGTTCCAAGTAACTTGGCCGGTCTGCAGAGTCAATAAATTCAGGCTTTCTGGTTAGGGTTCAGGTTGGTCCTCATAGTTTCGCACTTGTTGCCTGTCCCAACCGAGCATGAGCTTCCTCAAAAGCCTCCGAACATAGGACAGAGATCTAGCGATCCACATGTCGTGGATTTTATGATCATCAAGCCTACCCGAAGCGCAAAATCATTGTTTTTCTACATTCTTTGCCTTGCCGGAGTCGAAACCCGAGCTCGACGGTTGACGGCTCTTCTAAATTCCTTTTCGGCGATGGTCGCTGTAGACATGGTCGCGGGATCACTGGGGATTAGCGTGTGGAGTCGAAGGCTCAGCATAATTGCAGCTTCATTGCACCACGGGAGTGAGTCGCTCTTACGAATAAGGCCGTTGCTGGTGCGTCATTGCAGTTTTGGTGTGTTGGTCCGTCCTGAATTGATATACCGGAGCCCTTGGAGCTATCTTAAACCCCGTTGCACACTCGTGTGCTTGCTCAAGGCACTGAAGAAGGCTTTCTCCAGGCTGAGCCCCCCTTGTGCCTTGTAGCGTCTTCTAGTGCTAGGAGCCTCTCTGATCTCTGAGACACCACGGTTTTACTATGCCTGAACTGCTTCTTCAAGCTTCAGAGACTCCGGCATGATACTTTGTCAGTGCACCCATGGCCTGGCCAAGCATCGTTGCTTTTGGCAAGGATGAGTCTTCCTGGTTCCTCAAACTTGACGATCCCACTGGACATTGGTCCTCTCACGTCGGTTACATCCCAGAGGAATTGAAGACTGTGCTTGAGCCTGGTGGTTTAATTCACGAAGTCGCTTTAGGGCCGGATGGGGAGTGGTTCATAATTTTGGATGATGCGGACCGGTCAACCTTTTTCGGCAACACGTCCGATTTGTTTGCTGCGGCGCTCCATGCCACGAAGAACTCGGATGGCAAGATGCAGATCTCCTGGGTTGCCTTTGGCCCACAGCAGTCGTTTTTTGTTCACCGCATGGATGGTGAGCCATTTTGGCACGGCCTCCCAAAAGAATTAGAGGAGCTGGTGGCGAAACGCCCACGGGAGGTGAAGCATCTCGCGTTGGCTCGTCCCACAGGTTGGTGTGTGCTCTTCCACCACGGTGTTTGGAAGTGGCGCTTGCCACCAGAACATGGGCTTTCAGACTGGCTGAAAAGCTCCGAGGTTTACACATTGAATCATGTGTACTTCGGAAATAAAGGCGAGTATTTCATCGAGACAAGGCAGCGTGCGCAGTGGAATGCAGGAGATTCGCTCAGCGAGGTCTTGTCGTATTACTGCAACAGAAGCTCGCGAAAGGAAAAGGTCAAATCAGCCCTTGCCGAGGGCACGACTTTGCCGCAAGAACATGCAGAGCTCATGACAGTTCTTATGAAGGTGCTTGAGGAACATCGTGAGGATTGCTACTTCGACCAGCTCCTGGAAGCGATCAAGAGCAAGCTGCTTTTCGATCCGCAATTCACCCGGCTGTATTCCTTCAATCCTGCCTGCTATGGCCAACGAGGAGGATACCCATACTTCAAGCCATGCGGATGGCGTAGATGTTCGCTTGCAATCGACAAGTTCGAAGAGTATTCAGGTTGGTGCATCGCATATCATGGGACAAGTTGCCAGAATGTCGCATCCATCATGCTCCGCGGACTCCGACGGCCAGGTGATCAAGGCGTCTGTGTTGCGCATGGTCAGGCTTACAGCACCAGCCACCGCACTATTTACGTCAGTCCAGCAATTGAGTACGCGGCTTTTCCAGTTTATGCAGAGTTCTTGGAAATTGAGACGAATCACTGGGCACAGCTTGTTCTTGAGTGTCGTGTTCGTCCAGGTTCATTCGTAGTGAAGCCTGGATCTTTGGGGAATAAATATTGGCCACCGCATCTTCGCATGGACCAAAACTTCGAGACGAATTCTGAGCTGGAGTGGCTGATTGAGGCCCCGGAGGATGTCGCGTTCACTGGGCTCATGATCCGAGAGTTCGGAGACGCAGCAAGCGAAGAGGTCTACGGAAGCTTGGTGCGCCAAGTGACCGTGGGAAGCCATGGCCCACAGTTTGAATGGACAAAGCTGCGAGCAGCAGAGAGCGAGCGATTGCAGTATTATGTCTGAGGCGCAGCAGACAGGAACAAGAAGCGGCGGAGTACGAGCGATTGTAGTATTGCATCTCAGCTACAAACAAGGCAGCAGTTAAAAGGCGCAGATCTAGTCTCAGGATCTTATGTCTGATCGAGAGAGAACAGAACAGACCCTGAAGTTTAAGCCTCATCAGACCTGCGGTCAGTTGATATTCTGCGCCTTGAATTCAACTCCGTCATGTCTGCTTACTGGGCTTATGCGGGTGCTATACCCGACATATAGGACAGCTTCCAGCAGGTATTCAGCAATCACTCTACAAAGCTCGAACCTGTCGCTTTGCTTGGCCAGTGCAAGGGGTGCTGACATGTTAATTCGCTAGCCCCTAAATTTTGCCACAATATAGGAATTGGAATAACTTGTGATCATTTCACCTTCTTGTCCTTATGATATTATATACTAATTATATATATATATACACAGCAACTATACCCATAAGACCCTGTTCTAATCATTACTGCCCCCGTTTTACACAATGTGGCACGGCAGCGATGCTTGTTCAGCAGGACGCTTAACACGTTTGAAGTTCCTCGATCGAGCCGGACCTCCGGGAGCACCGGACCCCAAAACCCTGTCGACCTACCAAAGGGCCTTGAGAACTAGAAAAAGGTTTTGGGGGGTATCTGACATCATACCATACCTCCTCTGAGGTGCCGCTTCGACGTACTTGGTAGGATTTGGTTGATGGATTGTGGAGAGTGTTATCGGAGTTTCCCCAGGTATACCAGGTAGCCTGGATAAGACAACAGCATCGCCACGAAGTTCTTAACGACGAAACCCCGCAGACTCCGCCACAAACCCTAACCCCCCGCCCCCCCCCAATCCCTCAACTTTACTCCTTCAACCCCAAATTCCCAACACCTCGAACCGCTCAATCCTAAACCCTACTCCCTGAAACCCCAGGGCTTCCCCAACACCGGCAGGTCAGTGAGCAATGCATGACCCGGGTGGAGAAGGACGGAGCCCGGGTTTCAATTTTCCCTCAGGGTTGGTTTCAGGTTTGAGGGTCAGGTTGAGTTTTAGGATTGCAATTTGGAAGTTAGGATGTTCCGCTCATTGGTTTAGGGTACTGGGTTTGGGTTGTCCGGTGGCATTGGGGGTTTAAGGTGTTCTTATGTTGTTTCTTCTTCTTCTTCTTCTGGGCTCGGTTGGGCTTTTGCGAGTTGAGTTCGTGGTTTCAGTTCTTGAGATTACGGGTTCGGACGATGAGAAGGGCCCAAGGGTTTGCAGTTCAAGCTTTCGGGCGGTTCTTTGCAGGTCTTTAGGGCGTGGTGTTCTGGGGCTTGTTGTAGAGATTAGGTTTGTAGCAGTTGGGGTTTACCGCCTCAAGGGGTTATGCTTTCAATCTGGAGCCACAGGCGGATTATAGACTTACAGCGTGTGCAGGACTGATTTGTTTTGTAACCCATGCGAACACTACAGTTTGGGGCCGCTTTATTGCGGGGGCCTTTTGGGCAAAGTTAGGTCCTGAGTGAGGTGGAAAGGCTGACACGAATCCTGCCCAAGACCACCCAGCTCAAGAAATCGAACCAACAACCGATGTTCATGCTCTCCTACAGAAAATAATGTGGGGCAACATGCTAGTGCGCCCCTTGAATCTTTCCTTCAGCCGAAGCCCCAACCCAACTGTCCTAGCCGAGAGGGCTTGCGGCGCTACTTCCACCTGCAAAACACCGCGTGCGACGCATGTGTGTCTCGGACAATCAATACTTGGTCGTTGTCTAGGTTTGAGTTTCTTTATGACCCTCAAAAGTCAGGCGTCGTTTTTGCGTGAGGAACACCGAAGGAACCCTTGATTAGAGGACGCTCCACGTGACTCTTGAGGTGATGCGGGGGTTGTAGGGCTCTGGATGAAGAGTTTCAGACTTGGTGTTTGCCCCAAGAAGTTGTAAGAATGGAAGGCAGGAAGTCGACAGACAACAGCGGGGCAAAGCTAGGCTTGTCAGAGATACGACTGACCCACGCCACCTACATTCCCTACCGCACCCTGTCCTGCAGAAAACATGTAAGCATACGTTCTCCTTGTTGACCTACATCCACGGAGATTCGTTTCGCAGCTTCCCCTTCAGGCATGCCCTAAACCCTGAACCCCCGAAATAGAAAAAGCTTATAGTTGGTCCAGTGGAGATCCCAGAAGGTTAGGGCAAGGTAGCAGAATCCACGGCCACAACTCCGGACCTTGTGGTCTTGACTACTTCACTCCCTTAACAAGGGTTATAACAGGGATAGGATAAGCAAGCACTCAGTAATTGGAGCCACCGGTACACCGAAGATTCGTAGCCCATAGAGCCCAAGCCTCATGAGCTCCAAACGTTCAGGCGCAGATTCAACTCAGCCCTGGCATAAACCTGACCTCCACGGAAGGCAAAGCTGAGGCGCGGGTGGCGAGACTTTCGGAGTGTGGGTTCATTCATATTTGTGCACAGTATACACCTGTTCGCGTTGAAGCGGTTTACGGTTTCCACGACCTCAAATCAGGCACTGTCGGCACTAGTCATGGCTCTGGAGATCTCTGGAGTGTATCTTCTTTGTTCGCGTGCGTTTGGATCTCGACTGAAAGAAACCTAGCTGTCAGCCGTGGTTGCCGACATCGATTGCAAGCGCGTGCGGGAAAGGCAAAGACCACATGACGCATGACCCCAAAACATACCATGAATGCTTGAATCTCCATTTCCGAAGCCAATCTTTCGCTAGACTTCACCCTGCCCAAATTTGAAGCCAGCGCAAGTGGGATTTGAGGCTTGCGGGCTTCCGGCGCTCCTGGTATGCACGGCGCGAGGAATTTCTAGGGCTATGCAGATGACCCGAAATCTCCCAAACCCGAAACCAGAGGCAAAACCCGATAAGCTTCAATCTGAGACCCAGAGTCACAGCTGCAGAGGCACTGCCTCTGGGCCCCTCTCCGCACTCTTTCATGACCTCCTCCAAGGCCGGTGCTCCTGGAAGGTTTTGACCGATAATTTTGGAGTTAAGGTTACGGCTTGTGGATGTTCTCAGGTTTTGCTGAAGCTCATGGACTCAGAAATAATGTGTACTCCTTGGCGAAGCATCCTTGATCAAAGGAAATTATACGGGCTTGAAGCAGCCTGCATAATGGTCAAACAGACAGAGTCACGTCACGCCAGAATCACATCCACCTGCAACATGCCATCTATCAGGGGCTGCAGCTGCTGATGGACAGCAAAGAGTTGGCAAGCTCCCCAGAGGATCTGGCAGCTGGTGAATCCTGAGGCTCCGTACATATAGTCTCGGGTGCTGGTGGTCATTGTACAGCGTCTCAGTAAGAAACAGAGTTCAGCAGATACAGTAATAGCTTGAGGGGTATCCCGAGCTTACAGAGCCTCAGCTCTGGTTTTGTAGCAGCCCTGACCTGCCTGTCGCGGCATGCAGCCAGAGACTTTCCCGCCGACATTCTGCGCCAAGGCATCAAGCCACGCCCTCACGAAGCTTACCGAGGTGCCCTCGTACAGCTCACTGCAGTCTTGCAGGTATCGTGAAAATAGTCGCAGGTGTTATGAGGGCTAGGTTTCTGATTTGGAAAATGGCAGTAGTATTTCGGTTCTTGGAAGCCGGCTCTGCAAGCAAGTGGGGATCAATAGCCATGCATACCCATAGTAAGCCGGTGCCAGTTTAGGGCATTACAAGGCTGAGGGGTTGAGGGCTTAGGACGTGACGTGAGCATTGTCCTAAGTCTATTTGCGGTTCTGAGGATCATTTTGGTGTTCCAGCTGGTCTTGTAAGTTCTAATCATATGGTTCATAGATCTGGACATCACAGCTCAATTGGGGCATCTTGGGCTCTCATTGCATCAGCTGTCCATACAAAGCTGGGTATGCGCCAGCTCAGACCAAGAGGCCGGTACCCCCGAGGCCAGCTCTACAGCAAAAGCAGGTTTTTTTTTTGTGTTTTTTCCGGGACCTTGGAAACAAGACACTTCCGGATTATGGTTTAGGGTTTAGGGAAGTTTAGGGTTTTATGGAAGTGCCATGCTTGCTGCCCAGCTGATAGAAAAGAGCCTTGGTTCAAAAAGGGGTTTTATGGAAGAGACACCAACAAGAGCTCAAGGCTTGGAAGAGCCGTCGCTTTGGGGTCGGTGGATAGTCGTCTTCTTTCTGTGTGGCATGTGCTTTCAAAAGCAGGGTCTGACTGCGAGAGGTGGAGATCCTGGACGTGCTGCACACTGCTGCCCGGCGTCTCACAGCTGCAGTGAGAGGAGATGTGAGGGGACATGGTTTAGGCTTGATTCACTCCATTTGTCGACCCCGTTGCCACAAAAACGAAAGCCGCAGCCTCAGCTAGCAACTCTGCAAGCTTCGAACTGATGCCCCAGACCGGCAAAGCCCTAAACCCTGAAGTCGAAGCTCATAGGCCTCAAAAGCCTTAAGCCCTGAATGCTTTGAGCCCACACCGATCGCCTTCAAAGTATCTTCGCATTTTTAGGGACGTACCCAACGCCCGGAAGTCCCACACCTTGGAAGCTGTCGGGCGTGTTTATGATGATTGGCACCCCAAATAGTAGTATCCCGTTTACAAAGGCCAACTGCCGCAAACCCCGCAAACTGTACCTAACCACCAAGCCCCGAGTTCCTATAACCCCTAAACTCCGTCTAAAACCCAGAAAAACCTTAAAACCTGAACACTAACCCCCGGCCTATAGAGCCCCTTCAAAGGCACCCTGCAAACCCTACCTGTAGCAGAAAAGACTTACTCTTTAGGATTCCTTATTATTATGGTTTCTATATGCTCCTTGAAAGGGTAAGGCTTCTAGGCCACAGGTAGTAGTTGTTTCAGGCGAGTACCACCTCGCCATGCCGGAGTGCTTCCGTGCCTCTGTCCTGGCTCTGGCCGACCTCGGGGGGCTCTTTGAGGACCGAAAAATCAGTGCTTCAGGGGTGTTGGGTGTTGGGGTGGTAGGACTGCAGCCTTATGTTTACATATGAATGTATGTATGTATGTATGTACGTATGTATGCATGT